GATAATTCACTTTTCCCGCCTATCTCATTAACCTCTCCATACATCCTCCATTCACAATTTACCTATGTGAGTATGTGCAAATGTATTTTACTATTTGTATATTTATATCCATCTTATCTTTCCTTCTCCTTATATATTAATATTATTGATATATATATATATATATATATATATATATATATATATATATATATATATATATATATATATATATATATGTATGCATTAGATTATGCGTATTTATATATAAGTAAACTTATATATATATACTAGATTGTTTGTATTTATATATAAACAAGCTTATATATATATATATATAAATATATGTGTATACACACACACACACACATATATATATATATATATATATATATATATATATATATATATATATATATATATATATTTAAAAAAATATACATAATACCTTACGTACAGAATACATGTATATGTATTTTGTATGTGAAAGCTCGCCCAGACATTAAACTGTATTTATCCATTTGATTATATATATATATATATATATATATATATATATATATATATATATATATATATATATATATATATATATATTTATACGTATATAAAAGATACTTACCTGAAAGTTTATGTATATCAGTATATTCTCGCTGATCGCATCAGAGCCAATATACGGTTGATTAATTAAAAGATAAAATTAATTGCATTAAACGTTAATTCGTTCTGTGTAGATTTTTCTTCCCATCCAGCACAGCCCATCGCCATCAGATCTTTGTTTTCCCCGCAGGCCTTTTGTCGCGACTGCAGACATCTTTTATCTTTTTTTTTTCAACACCTATTTCTCCGGGTCTTTCAACGATTCATACCAGATTGCACAAACGCGTGAGCCGGCTACCATGAAATCATGACTGATGAGGAATCATTTTGGCTGCGTTGTGTCCTTTTCTTATTATTATCGTTAGAATTTTGTATTCACCCTGATTCAAATGGAAGACTGTCTAGCGCCATCCGACGTTGAAAGACATTCCTCGTAACTTAAACAATATATGTCAATTTGTCATTTATCTATTTATTTATTTACAATGAGTTTCATCCTGTACAAGGCTCGTCCTGGTTATGACAATAAACTACTTTCGACTGCAAGGCCTCTGATCGAGATGTTTTGAGGTGTTAGAATCATCGCCAAATTGCTGTTGTTCCCAGGTCCCCCTAACTTTTGGTAGTAGCAACCGTTAGGGCCCCAGCTATGGGCAAATAGTTACCTCAAAACTGGAGTTAAAACACAATGAAAGTATAGATATACATCTTTATAGTAAATATACCAGCAATACAATGCATTTAGATAACGACACAGACCATATTTACAAAAATATATTAGTGAAACTTGATCTACAAACTGATTTATTACAAAGAATACATATTCTATTCATACATCCTAATTCATTTATCCTGATAATATTCATATCCTAAAAATCTTGTTGGTATTAAATAAACCATTTAGGTTGATATGTCTTATAACAAAATAAGCCAAACCTGTACAAGGCCCGTGCATCTTCGGGGTAAAGGCTTACAGTAAGAAGCATTTTATGCATATAAGAAGGGCAGAGAACAGTTAACCCGAGATTTGAAGAGGTTAAGATTATAGTGATCGGAGAAAAATCTTATTGAGAGTCGTTTCCACTGAGCAGTGGTTCGCAGGAAGAAGCTGTTCCTATGAAATTTACTTCTCAACAATGGAATTGGTAAGGAATGTAGTTCGTCTGCGAACCTTCCGTGAAGATAGAGATAGAGCAGTGAGAGGCTTGCCACATCCCGCCTCCGAGAAGGAGAGGTTGGAAGGTGGAAAATAATTTGTCTCCCACAAGGATTCTGAGACGCTTTTGGACTATATCGCGACGGGCAAATGAGGACTGGGCACCTCCCGTCCAAATATGACGGCATTACTTCATTTTCAACCTGATCTGACCCTTGTAAAGTTAAATTCATGCATTTATAGTAAAATCATTAGCAAATCATTATATGGTATGTATAATAGATCTATACTCAGTAAGGCTTGTATTAATTCCTGATCATTGACAATACCTTTCAATACATTCCTATAGGTAAATCATTAACATAGCAGTTATAGTATACATACAATTGTCTGATTTTGTTAATAATGTTTACATTAATTCCCGACTACTGGTAATCTCTTTCTTTCTGGTTGACAATGCATTCCTTTGTAAAAAATATATATCAATGCGTTCAGTGTCATCATTCGCACAGGATTTTTTTTTACAGTAATATTCGCCCTGTACAAGGCCCGGGGCCACTCGAGATAGAGGGTTACGTTAAGAGGCAGTTTATACAGATAGGAGGGGAAGATAACGGTTAAATCTAGACTTGAACAGGTTAAGATTGTAGTGGTCAGGAAAACAACTTCTCGTTTCCACAGAGCAGTGGTTCGTGGAAAGAAGATGTTCGACTGAAGCTTACTTCTCGCCCGATGGAATACGGAGAGAACATCGGTTGTTTGCTATTATGTTAAGTGGCATGGTGTGCCCTTGCCGTGTAGGTCTGATTTGACGGGAACAGGGAATGTAGTTCGTCCGAGCACTTTCCGTGGAAGTAGCGAGAGAGCAGAGAGCGGTTGAGGGTAGAAAATAATTCTTCACTCACAAGGACTCGGAGACGCTTTTGGACGCTATCAAGGCCGGAGCGTGAGGTCTGGCCAGCTCCCACCCAAATATGACAACAGCTTGAATGTGAATTAAGTTTAAGCGTCTAATGATTTCTTTTTCTTTCAGATTTGGTGAACATTTAAGCGATATTATTTTCCACACATAATTTCCATGACTTAAATAACATGATCCAATAGAGAAATAAATAAATTTTCACCAATAACACTGCTTTATTTACTGCTGACTTTGATCCGTCTTAATGAAACACCATTATTACATTTTCAACTTGATCTGGCCCTTGTAGAATCACAGGATGACACGAGGAATCAGGTACTTACTGAACCGACCATTTTTCTTGCATCTTTAACGGTGAATGGTATGTTTAAGTTCCACTTGTGGTCGGTTTCATGAAGCAAATATGACGTATAGGATAAATTGTTCGTTATGACGGCCAGTCGCCTTTCTTCCTTATTGGGACAGAACCATTTCATTTAGCCATCATTGTATATGACTCAAGAGCCACTCAAGGAAGCTGGTTACTAAATTAAGGGGAAGACTTGAACAGGTTAAGACTGCAATGTTCAGGGAAGCATAAAAACTGAAATCTGAAATGAATAGTTTTTTGGAGAAAAAGGCTGTCTGGGTTGGAACATGCATTTTGCTAATGAAATACGTAACGGATGTGGGAGATACAACATCATGGAAGTAGATCTGCGAATGTGGCACTATGAAATAAAGTTCATCTGAACTTTTGCTATGTACAAGTGTCTTAACTGCACCTCATAATTAGGCGACTTTAAGCATGAAAAACGTACAAAAAGCAGCCAGTTATTGGAAAGCAGAAATAAGGATTCTTAACCAAAAACGGGCCAAATGGAATATGGTATATGACCAGTTTTAAAGTGGCTTCTCTTTTTTTGACGGAGAGGAGATACCTCTAACCACGTTAAATAAGGAAATGGGTTTGCTTTGGTTTATTTTGTTTTACGGCATATCAACATTATTGGGTTATTTAATGCCAAAAAATGTTTTTATTGCTGCTAATATTTTTTCCAAAAAATTATTGTTGATAACATTTTTTCATAAAAAAGTATTGCTGGTAATAACATATTGCTGGTAATATGTTTTCTTTCAAAAATACATTGCTGGTAATAACATATTGCTGTTAATATTTTTTCTTTCAAAAATTCATTGCTGGTAATAACATATTGCTGATAATATTTTTTTCTTTCAAAAATTAATTGCTGGTAATAACATATTGCTGACAATAATTTATTCTTTCAAAAATTAATTGCTGATAATAACATATTGCTGGTAATAATTTTTTCTTTCAAAAATTCATTGCTGGTAATGACATATTTCTGGTAATATTTTTTCTTTCAAAAATTAATTGCTGGTAATATCATATTGCTGTTAATATTTTTTTCTTTCAAAAATACATTGCTTGTAACAATTTTTTCTTTAAAAATTCACTGCTGGTAATAATCTTGTATAAAAATTCACTGCTGGTAATAATCTTGTATAAAAATTCATAGCGGGTAATAATCTTGAAAAAAAATATATTGGTGGTATTAAAACCTATTTTTTCACGTTTTGTCCTCTGATTGGGGGTTGACTATTTGCCCATAGCTAGAACCGTAACTGGTTCGACTTGGGTGGACCGCGAAATACCATCAATTAAGAGGTGATTCCTTGCTCCTCAAAACTTCCTTACCAGAGGACATGCAGTTGGATGTAGTTTATCGTCTTACCCAGGGCTCAATAAGGAAATAAATCGTAGATGCTTTCCAAAAGCTAAGCGGAGTATTAAGAGACAGAAACATTTCGTTAGAAACAAAGAAAAAATACTGAACTGTTACGTGATATCTGTCCTCAAGGACGAAGAAGAGACTTGAAGCAATAGAAATGCTGTTCTACAGAAAGATGTTGAGGATACCATGGACGGAACATGCGAGCACTGAAGAAGTTTTAGAGAAAATGGAATCAGAAAGGGAACTTATATTTAACATTAGGAAGAGGCAGTTGAAATTTATGGATAACGTAATGAGGAAGAGAGGCTTTGGAAAATCTTATACACACAGGACAGATTGAGAGAGACATCATGTATCATAAGTGTTGTGATTGTGTAAGTGGATGGTCGAACAGGGATTTGGATTGAGAAACCATCAAGAACTTCATTTACAGGAAGATGGATTATTGCAACAGGTAGATTAATTTCTGTGAAGGTTGGCACAGAATGTTGGTAGTTAAATGCAAAATGAATGAACACTTAACGAACGCCTTTTTGGGTGCATTAATTTATTGAATCCGAATACAAAATGGTGCTCTTCTTCGTGAGTTCGTAGTTCACGGGGAAACACAGAGAGAGAGAGAGAGAGAGAGAGAGAGAGAGAGAGAGAGAGAGAGAGAGGGTGAGTGATAGATAGAGATAGAATGAAATAGAGATAGAGCGAGAGAGAATGTCTGAAGGAGTTAGAGAGAGAGAGTGAAAGCGAGTGAGAGAGATAGGGAGATATAAAGTGATAAAGAGAGAGTGAAAGGCAGAGAGTGGTAAAGAGAGACAGAGTCAGTGAGATGACAGATAAGAACTTGATATACTGTTAATCAAATAATTATAAATAGATAAATAAATAAATGATATTTTCCTGTTTGAAATGATTGACAAGCATTTTAAAATCTTCAGTATATTTGTTTGATCATTTCGTCACAAGTAAGGCGATAATGCCGCTACGACGCAAAAGGTTACAGTGAGAGAAAGAGACTGAGAAGAAAAGCAAGGTAAGGGTAATAAAAGATTCATGATGATACAAGATAACAACTGACGTTGTATTTATATTTTTGAAGATTGTATGCGGCAGGGGTGCAAAAATTCGGAAATGAATTCCACAGACGAGAAGTGCGAGTAAAAAAGATCTTAGAAGAGAAGAGCCTGTTGCATCTTAGCAAGTGTAATGATAAAAGTACGCAGGTTTTACGAAAGCTTTATTCAACTGAAAATACAAGTGTCCTGTTATAGTCCCAGTAAATAGAAATAGTTCTTTCAAAGAGTAGAGTAACAAAACAAGGGGAGACCACTCTTGATTATTCATAACAGCTAGTTTAACAGTAAAACGACTAGACTTTGTTACTAATCTGGTAGCACACTTAAATTCATTAAGTCGAGGATTTAAGGGGAAAAAAACTAATCAGAAGAGTTGTCATGGAAATATTTGCAGAAAACAAACAAACAGAGGCCACGACATTCCGGTGACAAAGTGTCTGAAGTCGCGATGCCAGATAAGGATTGATTAATATTATAGACCCTTCGTTGAATTTTGTCAAGAATCTCGAGATATACAACAGGAGAATTACTCGTGTCTTTTCTTAATTAAAAGATATTACACATATAAGTTTTCAACTCACCATATATAAGGCTTACATAATCCATCGTTGTAAGTTGCGAAATAAAAAAAAAAGCTGAACAAAATGTCTACTCTATTCATTACGGCATTCATTAGCACTGGCAGTGCTTATTGTTACATTTTGTTGAAAGCAAAGTCAAAGAAAAACCTTTTAGCGAATCAGAAGGAAGTTTCACGTTTCTTTTCATTTCCTTCATGTTAATGCTTAAGTCACAAATCCTGGTCGCGTTCGTCTAGACATAAGCAGTAAAGAAATGAAAGAAAATAAAACAGACGTTTTTTTTAATTAATTAAAAGAGCAAATTTTATTAAAGTTTAGAGCGTGTTATTGTTGAGTCTCCATTTCACTACCTTTTCTTGTATTTAATATCTGAATTAGTCTTTTTCTGTCATATTTGAGTTGGTAAGTATTACTTATATTTCAGTCTGTAAACACGGACTTGGTTAAAGGAGAAATAAGTATTGGTCATTTATATATGAATCTATTGGCATTTAGAGAATAGGTAAATATGGATGAATGATATTACATTCTATAAGAATTTATTAGTTCAGTAATACGTTGGAGTAATGGATAGCGGCTCGGATTAAGAAATCGGTAGATCTGAGTTCGAATTCCTGTCTAATCCCTTACATTCACTTACGGTCTAATGCCCTTGGGAAAGGTATTAATCCTCTTCTTCTCCCCCCACCCCAGTAGTAGGGCAGGCCGTGTTCTATAGTCTTGGATGGCAACTGGTCTACCGCAGAAAAATGGCAACCTACTGCGGAAAAAAAATCTGCGTCGTCAGTCATTTATCGAAAGATACATGATCACCTAAGACGCATAACAGACTGAATAGGTTGGTTTGTTTTATTTTAGCGACATATCAACATCTCTATGTGCTATTTAATTTATCTAAATATATTGAACGCAATTATATGGCTTCAACCAAATATATTTCGAATGCAATTACATGCCTTCAACTACAGAAAAATTGTACTGTCGGTGATTTTGCTATAGAAAATATTGATAATTTTATTCTAAATATGTATTGTTAGTAATTTTAATATAAATATGTATTTTTATATTTTCAGGGATATTTGTTTTTGTTTTTGCTACGACGTCGGCTCAGGCTGAACCTTTGAACACCAGCAATCCACGTTCCTCAAAACCTCCTGATCAGAGTCCTTGCTGTAGTTTTTCGTCTTACCCAGGTCAGTAAACATTTGGCACGCAATTTTATGATTTCAACTGCATATTTTTATTTTATGATTTCAGCTTGCAATAAGCATGTATTGTTAGTAATTTTACTATAAGTATGTATAATTTTGATATAAATAGGTATTGTTGTTTATTATAATATTAATAGATATTCTTAGTAATTTTACTATAAATCGGTACTGTTGGTACTTTTATATAAATAGATATTGTTAGAAATTATAATATAAATAGATTCTGTTGGTACATTTAAAATAAACAGGTATTGTTGGTAATTTTAATATAAGTATGTATTTTTATATTTTCAGAGTGTTTTTTTTTTGTTTTTGCTACGACCTCGGCTCCTGTTGAACCTGTGAACACCAGCAATTAAAAGGTGGTTTCGCACTTCTCAAAAACTCCCGATTAAAGGCCTTACTGATGGATGTAGTTTATCGTCGTACCCAGGTCAGTAAACATTTGGCATGGAATTTTATGATTTCAATTACTGATTTTATCTTATGATTTCAGCTTGCAATAAACATGTATTGTTGATAATTTTACTATAAGTATGTATTCTTGGTAATTTCGATATAAATAGGTATTGTTAATTATAATATAAATATATACTGTTGGTAATTTTACTATAAATCGGTATTGTTAGTAATTTTACTATAAATATGTGACACGATAACTAGGCGTATATTAAGGTGGATTTGTAAAATATGTATTTTATTTTAATAAATTAAGAATAGAAAACGGTTAAGAATAGAAAAATAGTTTAAAAACATGTGTTTCGTTTAACAAAAGTACTAAGGGAAAAAGAAAAGGAAAAGATAAATAAATAAACGCTTTTTCTTTTATAAGTAAATTTGTGGAAGAGAAAAGGGCATCAGATTACTATTAAATCCTACCAGTCTTCCAATAAAATATTTGACTAAGTGATTTGATGTTATAAAAGATAATCTTTTAGGAAATAGATTTTAGATGACCAGGTCAAAAACTGTCTTTACTGTATCTCGACAACACATTAAGGAAATAAAGAAAAGATAACGAAATTTTCCCTTTCTCCAGGAAATAAAAAAAAAAGGAAAAAAAAAAAACCTGGCTACTGAGAAAGTGCTGGGGCTATAAAAACAACCTACGGCCTTCACACGAAGATTTGTTAAGATAAAAAGATTAAAAAAAATCCTGGAAAATACATCGTTGGAGGCCGAGTGTAGACGGGATGTCCGCAGGTTTTTTTACACATCAAAGGAAGCAAAATTTAAGTACCTTGAAAATTTGAACTTACAGTCGCCAATGCTTATCTTTGTTTTCACCCGGTGGTCTAGTGGACTTCGATTATTTCAATATAAATACAAGTGATTTTTTCCGAGCCGGGCAGTTCAGCCGGGCGTGTGTTTATAAATAGCTACGTGTCAGGCACACTGAAGAAGTGAAACTCCGTTCGTCTGAGTCGGTCGGTTCGGCATTTGATCTCCATTAGTTAGAGTTAGAACTGAGTGTCACATCGCCTACCCCAACGGCAAGACTAAGTCTGAACGAAATAAAGCGTTGATTAAACTCATCTAAGTTGCGGATGTTCGTTCCTTCAACGGTTTATCTTGTGCTCCCAGCTTGAGACTTCGACTTTTTCAACCAACCCCCGGCAACATCACAGCGTGGAGAACGGCCGCCGGGGAAATTGCACGGAGCTCACAAGGGGTGTTACAAATATATATCGATGGAAATTTTTATATAAAAAAAATATCGGGATACCTAGCGTTGCCCGGGTGTACATGGCGGCAAATGTATAACCACCACCCCTGTATACCCGCACACTCCTGTCTAGAAATGTGTTCCCGTATCCCCGCTTGCATGCATCATACGTTGGTATACTAAATACTCCACACCTTCATCTTTTTTACCGTATGTCCTTCGTAAGTGTTTGATTGTTCATAATAAAGGAATTCCATCGATAAAACTTTCTTGTGTGGTCGTTGCATGGGATTAAATTGTTTCAATATTTTAGATATTTAGTAAATTTCCTATGACCACAATATCTTTTAAATAGTATAGCATTGTTCACAAATCTAATGATGAAACAAAAACAGGGATGAAGCGTCAGACTGCAACTGCAAGTGAAAATGCATGAATGCCCCCTCCTTCTTCGCACGTTTACCGTAAAGCCGGGGTTAATAAGAGATTCATTCTGGAATTTCCCCTTTTCACGCTTCAATCATCCTGCTTTTGGGTAAATGAGAAAATATGTAATCCAAATATTCACGCACGAGGATTTGTACATCATATATAGTTTACATGGCAAATTTAGAAAGCATTGGATGAAAAATCAGGGAGTCATCGCCGAAAAACGGATGTTTTGAACAGTTTTTTGTCTTTTGTCGTTATAGGCGGGAAGGCTAGTAGGACTAAATTCACGCCATCTTATTTCTTGTATGATGATAGATTTTTGCCACTTGTTTGAATAAAATCGAATAAAAAATGAAGAAGTTATTTAAGTTAACCGATTTTTTCACATTTTCTTGCAATTTTTGTGTGAAATCAATGTCGCAGAAATAAAAACTATCAAACTCTTTACATAAACCTTGTAAAATGAGCGGATGTTTTGCATTAAGGGCAAAGAACATCAGCTCATCTAGTAAAAAAATTGTTTGCGTGTAACGTTGTCTTGGTTTTTTCAATAAAGTTGTACCCACCTTCAGATTTTTCGACGATTGTCCAAACAAGACGTGGAGCCTGGAGCTTGCAATGTTGATCTTGAACTAATTTGATAAATTTGAAACGTGTGTACAATTTCATCGAAATCGACCTAGAAGTGTGGACGTGCATAAATAGCATACAGATAGGCAAAGAAACAAACACAGACAGACACAGAGACAGAATACGTTCTGTTTTATAGATATAGATATTGCTTGTATTTTTGCCATAAAAATGTATTTTTATCTTTTCATCGTGTTTTCTTTGTGTTTGGAAGTGCATTATCCTGAGAACAACAACAATTAAGACGTGATTTTGG